AGCTCAGCAGCCCCTGAGGAAAGGGCGATGCCAGTAGCTATATTCCTCCCTTTGCTGTGCCCACTTGCTGTTTCTAATAATAATTCTTTCTCCTGTCTGTGATGCTGCTGCATTACAACACAGTCTTTAGTGCAGGGAAGACCTCCTCCTTTCCTGAGCTGCTCGTGGTGGTAGTTCTTCCTTTGTGTGGAACCAAATACCACCCCCTCCGGAGCATGATGAGCCAAAACCAGTGCATGAGAGAACTGCTTTTATTTTCCTTCTCTGCCAGCTGGAAAAGCCAGCTTCACCTATCATTTAACAGCTCCTGCTGTCGTTTTTCTTTCCATCTTCCATTCCCATCTTCCCTTCACATTCAGGCATGTGCTGTGGCCGAGTGAAACCGGGCTTTAAATGGCAGCAGCGCCTGTCTCGTGGCTGCGACCAAAATGCTGCTTTGAATGTGAAATCTGCAGAATTACCTTCTGGCAGCTTTTCTAAAGATACCTCACAGAGGGAAATTGTCATGCTTGTTACGACTGCACTTAATTCTTCACTGCTTTTCTTTCTTTCTTGGTTGAACCCCTTATTGCTTTTCCCGATTATTTTTTCCTAGAAGGAAGACTGTTTGCCCATTATGTGATTCAGCCTGAATATTTTTATAATGTATTTTTTGTATGGTGTTACTTTATAATCATCATGAAAATAATTTTGAGATGTAGTGGGTAAGAAACCAGTCCGTTCTGAGCAGGACTCATGCTTACTTTTAGAGTGTAACGTTTAAGGATTTTCAGTAGGATTTTCCGCTACACCCTGTACATGGGTAAATACACTGGATAGTTTAGAAGTGCTCCTGTTTTCTGAGAGCAATATATGGCAGAGCCAGAATGTGCCTGTAATTATCCTGCAAGAGGATGAAACTTGATCTCATCCATTGTCACTGTCCAAAGTTGCTTATTGGGAGCATACTGGTTGTGTCATCCCAGAGGTGCTGTCTGTTGTGTCTGTTCTGTCCCACAGGAAATTGTGCTCGAGTCTTCAGGTCATGAAGAACAGATAGTTTCATAATTGTGCGGATAACTAAAGTTTCATTTCATTCTACTTTTAACTGATTTAGCTGTTTTATTATCAAATAAGACAGAAACAAAGAGGGCACGTTGAGGCTTATTGTGTACTAATGAAATAGCTTTTCATAAGCACCCAGGGTCTTCTCTGTTCCTTCTGATGTCTTAGATCAAATGTCTTCTGGTCACCAACCTCCCTCTAAAAGGATCCATAGAAAACGAGATTAATTTTTGCATCTGTCTTTCTGTTCAGGTGCTTAAGGTTGAGTGAGAGGAATACCATCAAAATATTTGACAATGAAGTCAGGCTAAGCATGTCTGAAAAGCTGGCAGATACAATTTTTTACAGACCATGATACAAGGCAGGGTTTTTTTTAGTTTCTTGCAGGGAGTTCTGTTCAAAGCCCTTTTTCCAATGAGCATTGAACGTGTAATTCAAAGCACGCTGATGAAAGCACGCATTGAGCGGTTTATTCTAGGTCTAACGTGCACGTTTTGCTTTTCTATCATATGAAATCCATACAGCAATCCGGATTAGAATGAGGTAGGAGGCATATTTGGCATGCTGAATGGTAGGGATGTTTTCGTGGCACCAACTATCACAATGAGTTTTTTCAGTTTACTACTATTAGCTGTATTTCAGTCTTTTCGTATCAACATCCCGTTGCCACGTATTGGTTTTAATGGAAATTAAAATGATGAACAAATTTAGAAGTTTTAGCAGAAGGTCTGTGAAAATTTTCCCAACACACACACACACAAAAAGTTTGAGCTGCAGTACCTTAATGATGTAAGTACATCTCTTTATTTTAAACCCCTGGTTTGGCCATGTGCAATAATCGTGCTTTACAATGGTAACCTTCCCTGCAGCAGCGAGACCCTCCTGTGTTTGTGATGGTCATCATCTGCTTAAATAATACAAAATGTGAGGGTAATACGATGCAGTGGAACTCTTAGATTTTTCAACACATTCTAGTTTTTATTGTCTTTGCTAGGTTTGTGTGACGTACAGCTGTATCAGAAGTCTTTGCTGTTGTAGTAAGGCATTGCCTGGCAGGCAGGCCCTCTGCAGAAAAACCAAAGTTGCTTCTTAGGAACAAACCTTAACTCTTTGTAGGATATTAATTTTATAGGATACAGGGGTTGTTGTCTTCCCCCTGAACTAATCATCTGTCTCTGTACTCTGACAAATTTTTTGTTCTCCCAGCCCTTCCTTTCATATTTGTCTTTCTGGTGCTTAACTTTTTTTTTTTTTCCCCAGTCTCTGCTTTTTGTGCTTGTGGCAGCTTCACTTTAAAGTGGAACTTGATCAGGCATTTACTGACATTTTGATCTCTAAAGCAATACCAGCTACAGGCTTGACGTATGCATACGCATGTTGGTATATGTGATTTTTAAGATTTCAGCTTACTCAGTTGTAGTGATGACGCGATTTTGCAGGTACAGTAGCTTCATGTCTTCTATGTGGACCAGTCTGTTTTACCAGTAAGGATTCTTTTCTGGAGAAAGTTTGACTGAGACTTCACTTCACTTCCTCTCTCTCAAAAAGTAACCCCCTGACTGTTCTAGTAAGTGTGCTGCTCTGGTGTGCTTCCGCGTGTGAGTCTGCCTCGTGCTCCTCGCCCCGGCTGTATAATACCACATTTCAGCATCGACTCCGGCTCCTGCTTGCCTTAATGCCATCCGTGTGGCTCGATTGCAGCAGACATTTTTTCATTTCTGAACCTGTGAGCAAAGGAAAAGCTGTCCTAGTGGGGTGCCTCGGGGGTGTGCTACTTTTCCAGGTCTCCGTGCAGTGTCAGAATTGCTTAGCCGTGGCGTTTGCCGGCTCCTTCCCCAGCAGCCTCTGCTCAGACGACAGGTTGTTCTCTCTGCTGTCGGCAGTTTCTTTCCAGGAGCAGAAAAGGTGGTTTTGCCCTCTGCTTCAGCAGTATGTCCAAACCTGGGCGCTGCCAGCCGTACCAGGAGGCCGACTATACAGACCATGTTTTGTTTTCAGTTTGGTCATCTCCCTCCAGCAGTGGTTGGGGTAGTTGGATAGAGTAACCTAAAGGGAGCATAAAATAAGATCGACTTTGCCATTAAATGGAAGGAATGATATGCAGACTGTATGAAACGTACTTTGCAATTTAAGCAAGCTCCTCAATTTTTGAAAATGTATCTGAAGCTGCTCTAGAGTGCCTGGTCTGCCACAGCGGAGCGCTGCCGAACCCGAGGGCCTCGCCGCGGGATTTAAGTCACCCTTGCTGCGCAGCACGCGGGACCTGGGGTGTTGTCCCTCTTACTGAAAGTCCCGAATCACCTCCTGGCTGCTTCTGACTTCTGGTTTTCACCTCTGACTGATTCACTTTGAATTCGTATGTTGGTGCTTTAAGTACTCAGTGTTGCTTGTTTCGTGTTGTGTGAATGTGAGCATTTAGACAGGCTGGTCCTTCACAACGTCCGTGTCCTGCTTGCTGGGCTCCTGCCAACAGCTTCTGATGTCTGGCTGGTATGTTGTGAACTCTCTTGCCCTGTCTGGCACCCATGTTGCAGTTACCTGGCAATATGTAGATACTTCCTACCTTTCTCTGGAACTCCTCAACAAGTGGTTTGTGCAGTGCGCTCCGTGTCCTTGCACTAGTGCTCTAGTGCACTGTCACGTGGGTGTGTAAAAGGCAAGTAAACGTGTCCTGCATCTTGTCCAAACTGGGAAATCACGAAACTGCTTGGTTGGCAGGATTCGCTCGCCTACTTATCGCCAAAAGCTGGGGGGCACTGCCCATTTCTTCTGCATTTGGTAGGCACGAGGTGTTTGTTCCAGGAAGTATTTCTAATGTCTGTTTGGTTCTCATGAAGATTTTGCCTGACAATTGGTGAAAGATGCTTCTGGGTACTTTCCAGTGACCATAAGGAGTTAGCTTTGCCATTTCCTGGCTTGAACTGGGACTTGTAGGTAATTATTCATGCAAATAGCATCCAAACAGAGCTTCTGCACAAATGGAAACTTGTTGCTTAACAAAAGTGCTTACCAGAACAGATAGAGAAGTTGCTGAAGGTAAAAGCTCTGCATTTGCCCTGTTGGAGGTGTGTTTATCTTGCACTGAAATGCTCAGAGAGCACAGAAGAGCCAAAGACCTGGCAGCCTTTTCAGAGGAGCACCTTTTGTTGCTGCTGCTGCTGTGGAATCTGTAGCTCACCTTTGGGTGAGGAAGAGGATGATTTTATATCTATGTATGTTTCAAGGAAGATTTTAAAAGCCACTCTGCCTTTATAGGCTTTGATATTCCATTACTTATTCGATACTAGGAATATCTATGTTGTATCTTAGTTTTCTGTTCAGGTGATTACTGTACAATATGACAGTTTACTCATGTGAACAGTAAAAATAGATCTGCAGGTATGATTGTGGGCACTGCAAGCCATGGAATTAAGCAGTTATGAGGAGCAGAGAGGAAGCAGGCTATTTTTTAGCATTCTGCCTAAAATTGCTATGTTTTAGCAATAGCAACTAGTGAGCTACAGTTTTCAACAGTTACAGAAGAAAATGAAATGTAAACAGAACTGAAGCTAGTCTCTCTAAATACGGCTGCAGGATAAACACCTCTGCAGAAAGGCAAATTTAGAGAGGATTTTTTTGTCCAAGTATGAAACCCAAGTACTGTTTGTGTTGCAGTCCTTTTGTTGGCAGTTCTGTGTTTGTGAGTACAGCCCTTAGAGCTATTTTATTTTATTTTGTGACTCTTGTACCACTTTTATTTTTAATTTTGCTCTGTTAACTAGTGCATTGTGCAATAATTAGTCCCATGCTTTGATTCTCAGCTGTTATTTTTAATGAGTCTTGAGAAGAGTAACCTATGGGAGAATTGCATGCTCTTTGTTACCATCCCCATGGAACTGTACATGCATCTAATCTGGATGCGTTCGTAGTAGCCTTCAATTTTTGAGTAATCTGGCTATTTTCTTCTTCATAGGACTGAGTTTGCCCTAAAAGAAATCATGTCATCAGGAGGAGCTGAAGATGATATTCCTCAAGCAGAGAGGAAAACAGTGACAGACTTTTGCTACTTATTGGATAAATCTAAACAGCTATTCAATGGCTTAAGGTTAGTGCATTTTTGACAGTATTCCTTCAGAAAAGCATTGGAACATACACTTTAGTATGTGAATGATGCTGAAGTCAGTTGTACAATGAACATTTTTAACTCAAACCCAGTAAGTTTGTTTAGGAGAGAACAATGTGCATCTATGTATGGGTAGTTTAGGACCATATAAGAAAGAATCTCTGGAGGAGTAAAGGTTCTTGCATTTCTTCTGAGACAGTATGGTAGGAAATGTGAGAGAGGTGAGCTGAATGTCTCAGTCATGTCAGTTAACAGTAAACTAGAAGTTGGAAATTCCATGAAGTAGATAGAATTCGTACTGAAATGTTGTGTATGAGCAATACAACTAGGACTAGGTGTTAAAAAAGAGAGATGAGGATTGGCCTAGGTGGGAAGAAAGAAGAGGAGGGAATATTATTTTTTGGGAAGAAATGTAAGTAGTGATAAACAGAAACAGCCAAAACATACCCTGTACGTGTAAATCTGAACTGTGGAGAAAGGTAAAATCTGCATTTATCTGCACAGCATCTGCAATAACATCTAGAAAGTCTAGCTGTTTTGTCAGCACCTGAAAGAAGGGGAATGAGAGTAAAGGGAGTTCAAGGAAAATAGTTCACGTGTGGACAGTGATACAGGCATCCTGTTCATGTCAATATATGCTGAGTTAAAGATGCTGTATTCAAGAGCTGGTTTATTTCTAAGCTTTGCTGTAGAGTCTTTTAAGCAGCATGATTTCTAGCTCGTATCTTGTTGGCGGTTCA